TTAAAAGGCTTCTCTCCCGTATGAATTCTCTGATGGTTTATACAGCCCGAGTAATTCCTAAAGGCTTTGACACATTCATTACATTTATAAGGTTTCTCTCCTGTATGAACTCTCAGATGTGTATTAAGAGAGTAAAAATTGCTAAAAGCTTTGCCACATTCTCTACATTTGTAAGGCTTCTCTCCAATGAGAACTCTCTGATGCGTAGTAAGGTGTGAGAACCATCTAAAGGCCTTGCCACATTCTCTACAATTGTAATGTTTCTCTCCATTATGAATTTTCCGATGTTGATTCAGGTTCGAGGAGTTAAGGAATCCTTTCACATTCTCTTTCTCTACATTTGTAAGATTTTTTTCCACTGTGGATTTTTGTCTTGAATATTTGACTGGAGATTATACCACGAGGATTCCATTTGTCAGCTTTCTCCCCAGGATGAATATTCTCTTGTTCAGTGTAATTTGTAGATGGTTGAAAAGACTGGACACATTTATTTCCTTTGTGTGTCATCTCCACAATAGGAATAACCTCACGTATTTTGTGATTGCACCTTGGGTCAGAGACTCTTCCACGTTCATAATGGTCCTCTGCAAACTCGCTTCTCCAATGATTAAGATATGAGTCTTGCTTAAATTTTTTCCAGTTTTCATTCCATTGATCACAACTGTCTCCATTATGTGTACTCTGGAAGTAATGGGACATGGAAATACCTTTACTGACATAATTTCATTAAACATGTACACTTGTTCCATAAGAACCATTTTCTGATACTCATTAAACCAAGATGGTTTTACACAAAAGCTCTCCTAATTTATTAAAATTATAGACAAAATTAAATACAAAAAAATCATTGTCAGAGAAAAAGAACGAATCCTTGTTTAAAAGATTGCCAGCCCTAACCTGTTTGGCTCAGTGGATAGAGCAGCCATGGGCAAACTAAGGCCCGGGGGCTGGATCCAGCCCGTTGGAAATGAAAAAAAATAAAAAAAAAAAAAAAAAAAGACCGTACCCTTTTATGTAATGATGTTTACTTTGAATTTATATTAGTTCACACAAACACTCCATCCATCCTTTTGTTCCAGCCCTCTGGTCCAGTTTAAGAACCCATTGTGGCCCTTAAGTCAAAAAGTTTGCCCACCCCTAGGATAGAGTGCTGGCCTGCGGACTGAAGGGTCCCACGTTCAGTTCCGTTCAAGGGCCTGTACCTTGCTTCTGGGCACATCCTCAGGAGGGGTTGTGCAGGAGGCAGCTGATAGATGTTTCCCTCTCATCAATGTTTCTAACTCTCTATCTCTCTCCCTTCCTCTCTGTAAAAAATCAATAAACTATCTTTAAAAAAAAAAGTGATAACGATAATAATAATAATGATTGCCCAATTGAGCATACTTAAATTTTAAAGGTATATTTTAAATCTCTACATTTTAGAAATTATTGCATGAAAGTTTAATCCCACCCTATATTTTACAAAATTCAAATGATTATTTACACTACACAACATGTGAACTCCTACTTTATCCCGAATTCCTTTCCAAGAATGCATAACATTAAAAGCTGCTTTCAACTTCAAGTGCAGAAACACACTGATCTGCCAATTTAACTGACTTTAATGTGGAAGGTTTCCCAAATGCGTAATACACTTCACCTCTTCAAGTAACAACTTTTTATGATAACTGTTCCAGATTAGTTCTGTTTATACTAATAACCTTTGTTCTCATCACACTCTTCCTCAAATACTGAGACTTTCATTAAGTGTACATTATCAAAGCAACACATTTTATATCTTACCAGTATCAATTCAGAGAATAAGTCTTGTATTCTGGTCTTTGGCATAAGGGCATGTTCATCTTCAGATGACATAGCTGAAAGAAAACAAATGTTCAGTTTTGACAATCAGGTGAGTGCACTTTGAAGTTACCAGCAACTATAGGCCAAATGACAGTTTTGAGTACTCCAAGAGGTAGTGAAGGATTCAAGGAAAGCTCTAGATAGGTAAAATGAGGAAAACTCACATCAAAGAGGGACGAAGAGTGGCTTACATTTGCCGATGAAAACTGCTCAAACCCTCTGGCACACGGTGGCCATATTATAAAAACACTCCCAATTCCCAGTTTCTTTGCTGGAGAGACAGAGATGAGGGAAGTACATGTTCAATGATCAACTTGTTTTGAAGCATCTTGAATAACAACTTTCAGTTGTGCATGACACAGAATGAAAACA